AACCATCTTTCAATACACCAGAAGCAATCACATATCTATTCAATTTTATAAAACCAGTTTTACAAAATAACGATCTAGTTTTTATAAGCCAAAAGTGAAATAAGAATGAGATTGCGTTTCACTTCTGTGCATAAAGATAGTTCTCTAATACTAATATCCTCATACTCTCTAATTTCAGATGTAATACTCCCACTGACTTAACTACAACCTTGGCATCAGATCAAAAGATAAATATATACCCATATCATCAAGGCTTCTGGATTCCTGAAATCCTTACAATAAATTGCAAACATGTTTAGTGGCTCCAGAATCTATCCATCAGGAATCAATAGATACAACCACATAACATGGCTCAATGATTAAATATATATTTTCCTATGCCACGTCATTGCTTAGACAGTTTGTCCTTTAGTGTCTTAGTTAACGGCAAAAGAAACAGTTTCATTCGCCCTCAACATACACTGCCTTATTCCCTTTAACCTTTTAGATACCTATGTTTTGTGCTAGCCTAGTCCTATTATCATCCTTCTTCTTTGCTTTGCCCATCCACTTGGGCCTAGAAGAAGATGGTATAGACTAGGTTAGATTGATAGGAACGCCCATACTCTTGATTATCCCTTTATCTGTTACCAATTCTATAAGAATATCAGCGAGTGTGAACTCAAACTGATTCTTTATTTAATTCACTCTAACAGAGTCGAACGAGTTTGGTAACAAGGCAATAATCATGTTAACTTGAAACTTACCACCCAAGTCAGCCTTATTGATCTCCAGCTAATTTTTAAACAATAAACAATCATTTTTCAAAATTCGATTTCATACTGGAGTTCCTTAGGCTATCTTGATGCTATTCAAGTCTGACATAGTACTTTGGCATACTCTCTATCTAATCTCACCAAAACATCTTATTAAAATTTTAACATGATGCTTGAAGAAAATAAAATAATATAAATGTTAGCTTTGGAGTATATTCGAGCTAAACTCTAGAATATTGCACCAAGTCATATCATTTGCCTTATCTAATTTATTAAAAGCATTAATGTCAAATTTGGTATCTCAAAGTAAAAGAGATAGGTATAGGAGTAATAAACACATTTTGTACCCTTACGTTGTGAATAAAATATCTAAGTTCATTTTCCAGTCATTATAAATAAGGTCCAATATCATAGAATATGTAAGCAAGTAGATAAACTGGATTAGACATAATTAATCTGAATATAAATGCATTCATACAACATGCAAGGTGAATTATTAATTCTGTCATGCATATTTAAAATTAAAATGAGTTTGTTAACCACATAATATAATAAATCTCAATCGAACAAGAGATCATTATCATTATTGGTGAACAATCCCTTTTAATTAATGCGGGTCCCTCAACTCTGTAGCATAATAAATCAACCAATCAATATGTCAATAACTTATCCTGTTGGAGGAGTTCATTATTACTATTGTTGATATTCATTTACTATTAGGTGAGCACTTCCATTAAAATAATAATATGTGGGTCCCTTAACCACTGCATGAAAAATCGAATAACCAATACGCTAATAACTTATTCGGTTGGCGAAGTTCATTATTGCTATTGGCGGGCAAATCCCATCATTTCCATATCTCTTAAGACAATGCCTTGTCTATCTATATGAAATGACTCCCGATTATGTTTAGCCTTTCTAAAATCACCTAGTGTAGACCACTCCGTTGGGGAGCTAACACTATTGATTTTAGATTGAGTGTATAACATTATTAATGCTCTAATGAAAAATAAAACATTAAATATGTTGTCATTATAATCTAGACTCTTTAAATCATGCGTAGGGCCTTATTTTTAAAGATCTAATTACAATGAACATTTAATATTTTTATTTTCATGAGACAACCATTCTTGTAATATTAAGACTCTTCAAATCATGCGTGGGGCCTTATTTTTGAAGATCTAATTACAATGGTTTTAATAACGAAGGCCATGGGGCAATGTATAAAAATCCCCGCTCCCACTCAATTTTTAATCATTCATAATTGGGGTTTTCATTTTATTCATTTACATGATATAATGCATGCAAAACGTCTTGATTTTAATCCAATTAAATTTAGAAAATATTTGGACTTTAAACGATTCACTAATATTTAACTTGAGGCACACTTCAAAAATAATTTACAAAAATAATTTTTCGTTTCCCAATAAGTGCCCTCAAATTAATTAGTAATCTAATCCAATTAATTTTCATAATTTAATTAATATAAATCAAGCCATTTAAATAAATATCATGGATCCAATGCATGAACAATAATAATTAGCAATTAATTATTTCATGCATCACATACAACAATAAATGACAGATAAAGCAAATTAAATGGCCAATGGATTCAGCTTTTAACATTTAAAACCTATTCTTGCTGTACGGGCATCCTTCAACTGTCTGTAAACACCCATAGGAAGCTTGTACGCGTCAGGAGAAGCAAAACGCCGCTTGAAACGAGCCCGGAGGACCTCACACGCGCTGGCACGCGCCTAGGGCAAGCTGCACGTGCTCCCACGCGCTCCCACGCGCCGGCACGCGCCTGGGGCGCGTGGAGTTCAAGCTCCCTTGGCTGGCGCGTGCAATGCACGCGCCAGCATGTGCACTCTCCTGGCGCGTGTGGAACACGCGCCAGGCTCACCATCTTGACGCCACACCTGATCCGGGCCACCTCCGACGCCCCTTCTCGCCGCCGGCGAAGCTCCGGCCACCGGAAAAACGCCGAAAAAATTCCAAAAAATCCGGAAAAATGCCAGAAAATTAAATTAATATTATTGAACTTTCAAACGGCTAAATCAAAGCCTTAATTACATTCATCCAAAGATAAAATTACATTAATTTAACCTATAAGCTTCATCCATGGCCCAACCATACATCATCATTCATTCACAATTATTCATACATCATTATGTATCAATATATATCAACATATTAAATCATACATCAACATACATCAATAAAAATATATATATGAATATAATTTTGGATCCATGAATGATGATTTTCATAAAATCATGATCTCTAGTAATGAATCAAACCATGCTCTGATACCGCTGTTGGGAAACGTGCAAGTTTTTAAAAACTTTTCGAGGGATTTTGATTCATAGATCTTGATTCATCACATAGAGACAAGTTTTATGCAAAAATAAAAATATGATGTATCATTCAATTAATGGATTGAATACTTACATCAAAGGTCTGAGTAAACCTTTAAAACTTTCCTCTAAAGTGAATGTTCTCACTTATTGTAGATCCCTTAGCAAGATGCCTTCTCCTTGGATCTCCATCTTCTTGGTAATTATTTTGCCTTTAGGAATCACTCATATGCCCCCATGAATGACCTTGGAAAACTAGGCTTGTGGGAGCCTCCATTAGATGAGAACATAAACCCTAATTTTCTAGAGAGAGAAAATTTATTCCTTTTTTTCTTTTCATAAAAATCACCCCCTAAAATATACATAGACCATGTATATTTATAGGCAACATAAAAATAAAGAAAAGGAAACAACAAATCCTTCTCCATCTCTAATTCATATGTCTCAAATCTAATATGATTCCAATATCAAGTTGGGCTATGAGTGAGAATCCATTGGGCCTATTATTTTATTGGCTACAATGAATTAATAATTGGCCCAGTCCATGGACCCAATTCAATTAATTCATAAATTAATTTCTACTCCACTAAAAGAAATTAATTGAACTCCAATTAAATAATAAATAACCTCTAAGTCAATATTGCACTTTGACCCCTCTATACATATTAGTTATCGGATAAATATAGCCATCAATCCGACTACTTAATTAATATATTTATTTTGGTACCTTTGATTATTTCTGGCTCGATCACAATAAAACATTTGTTTGACAAAAATAATAATTTAAATAAATAAATATATAATAAATCATTTTGTCTAAAAACACACGAAGGCCTTCGAATTTACTTTGTGATCAACCATAATCAATACAAAATAAATACAAGTAGCAATGATGCAAATATTGAAAATATAACCCTCTAACTATTAATTACATAACTACCCAAAGTGTCGGTCTAAGGATCCCGAAGAATCCGCCGAACAAATCAAAGTAATTATTAATTAATAAAAGAGTCTATACTTTTCTCATGCTTAAGAGTCAAATGCCATGACGGTGATAGGGAGTAATTGCATACGACGGCTCTCGCAATATATCTCAACCTAACGCGGATCCAGTTCAAGTCTTAATTAATTATGAGTCCATCCATAATTACCGACTATGAACAATTTATAATTACTATTTATATATCATGCATTGATTGTCATCACATACATATATATAAATATTTCTTGTAATTAACTGGACACTATCAATTTCATAGTGAATCGAAACATAATACATTGAATTCACCAATTATATAAATCATAAATATTTCAGATATGTCAGGAACATATGTCAATACAATCCAGATAGGAATTTGCTATGCCAGGGCATATAAATCCCAACAGTGTCCACTGTGGGATATGCATTCATGAGTTGAATTTAATTTTGACCTCACCAATATACTTTACCATTTGACCTATCCAATGGTGATTTCTCAGAATATTTTCGTCTCTGCACCCATTCTGTACAAAAATAACAACAAAAATTAAATCTATCCAGTCTTTCCCTTCCTTTACCCTCAATAAACAAATGGCTTTTCAATTGTTACTCTGGATGGTTGCCTACTGCCCACTGATAATTGTTGAGTATTGCCATGATTTTTGTGATTCATGAAGCACAAGACAACAGACCAAGCTTTTTTTGTTATACAATAATGAAGGGTTGAGATTGAAACACACAACAATGTGTGTTTGTTATGACAACTAGGATTGTTTAAAAAAAAATAAAAAAACATAACATCTATAATAAACTTTAGAGCAGAAGCTCTGAGAGGTGAAAATAAGGAAAATATAATAATAATAAAAAGTAGCATAACTCAAACAATTAAATCATACATACAACATATACACATAAAAAGGTCCTAAATTTTATATATCAAAGTTCATGACAATTGACAACAAATTTACTCTAATGTATGTAATATTTCTTGCCTAATCTATCTATTTGCATTGGTCTTGCACAAAGCTATTTTGCAGCACCTCAAAGATGACAAATCAATGATTCATCATTTATTATTTTAATCATTTCCCTAATCACTTGCTTTATAATGTTTATTCCCTCCTCAAGTACTGGATAAAATTCTATCTAAAAACTAGTGGAATAGAGGCTGTGAGGCTTTGCATAAAACACACAAAGCCTCAGTAACCAACAGTGATTTCCCAAGAACTTGTGTCAGTTGGAATTGTCAGAGTCAAAAGATGATATTCACTTTTGTAATTGAATCCTTCTTCTTTGAAGTTTAAAGAGCAAAACTTCGGCTTTGGATCGGAAAATGCTCCAAAACAACCAGCCCCTCTCCCCTTGACACTAATTCTGCAGGTGGAAGAATCTTTAGAAACTTCAATCGACTCAACAGCCCCTCCGGAATTGTACATATTTATTAATCCAATAGGTGCAAACTGAATATTTGGATTGTAGACCTGTAAAAATCACAACATAATTTGTTTCCCTTAGTCAAAAACTCTATATAATATGAATTAATTACACCATCTGGGAGAAAGAAATGTAGGAATGCAAGCGACTAGCCAACCTTTATAGGCGATACAGTTAAGACATCGCAGTGCAAGGTTTTTAAGGTGACCTCCATTGATTCTTGCTTTCCCAGTCGAGTCAGGGAGCCTGAAAGTGTACAGATGAATTAGAGGGTTGAAGAAGAACCATTCAGTCCAATATCTGTACTCATAAGTACAGTAAACATTTTCCTTTTCCATATCTGATATTCATGTGGTCACATAATTAAATATGATTGCAGAAATTGAGCACCAAAATGAGAATAGTTATTGAAGCTTATGCAGCTGTGACTGTGAGTACCACTTATACTATGACCAAGAAACTACGGTTTGAACAAGAGTGCAGAAAAATAGCTATCCGTGTTTTTGAATGCATGTCCCAAAACAAAGAACATCCCCAACACTAGATTTAACATTCCAAGAGAAATTTTCTTATAGACTATATAATTCAATGCATCGCTGATTTTAATCAAAATTTAACAGTTCAATTAGCTTCAAGAAGTGTGACTTGTGCACTATAATGATACGTAAAATTACTATCCTTCATATCCACTTATGGGATCATTAAAGAAAAAAACTCTCCCAATTTGAACTACATAAGCACATCTTGATTATGTGACTGCATAAGCCAACTCCTATGTCACCACATTTTATAGTACGTGTCATAACGCCTTTTTGTTTTCAGTCTGCGTACTATAAAATTATCAGCACTCCTTGTAACATTGAGCAAGTCTAATTGTACCTGAATTGAAGGAAAAGACAGCACAATCTCCCATCCATGATTGCCCTGAAGCTTCTTCAAGATACTCAATATCAGCGGGAGAGACCAGTCCAGATAGCTCAGAACTGACACTGCTCTGAACAGCCTTGTCCAGACAAGGCCAGCTTCCAGCTCCTTGACAATTGAACACGCCAATAACTCCGGTACATTTGTTCAGATTCCAAACCTTCAGAAGGCTGAGGTTTTTTATTTGAAACAGATTAGAAAATTAGAACACAGGAAGCAAATCAAACACAAATAGAATTCTGAAGGATACCTCTTTCCATCCATAACTGGATCTTTGAATAAACAATCTCGCGATGGCCTTCCAGGGTATTTAGCTCTCAGCACTGACCCATCGGGAAGAACAAGCCTTCTTAGTATCTTGAAGTCATGCTGGCCTGGTTTATCACTGTTTTAAATGATGGTGCTTGAGAAACATTTCAAGGAAAATGAAGCACAAGAGGAAAAACCTTGGCATAAAGATTACTTAGTAGGCAAAAATGGCCTATTTAGATATTGAAAATATAGGCAAACATGTATGCATATTTAACATTGTTCGTTAGGCCTCTCTGAGTATAGCTATAAATAAGATAGCCTCACCTAACATAGACTCCACAACCTCCCACTGCACGAGCAACTGCATGAAACTCAGCTGCCTCATGGAGGCTCTGAAAGGTGTTAAAGAAAAGAACATAATTACCAGGATTGTTAAAGAAGGCACTAGGAAAAACTGAAAAGGCTAGGTCATACGTAGAACATGTCCCAATCAGGAACGACAACTTCTCCAAAGAATATGCTGTTATAGGCCACGGCAGCTATGTGCAATGTCTGTGTGGTTGGGTTTTTGGGATAGTAATCATCAGATACACGCGTAATAGCACTTCTTTTTGTGCTGCAACAGGAAATGAAGAACACAATCACTATTTCAAATGCATACTATATTTTGTACTGAACTTCAGCAGGAAATTGGGTGCACAAGTTTAGTACTTGTAAATTGTGTCTGTGCTCTGACCCATGCAACAGATTATGCTATTGTCCTGGAAGTTGGTGGCTATGGACTTTTCAAGTGCTTGTTGGAAATGTCTAGTAAGTGAGACTCGGCCTCCGGAACCAGTTGCCACAGTTTCAAGTATGTTCTGTACATCAACCTTAACACCATCCACTCCCTGTGACACAAGATAACTGTGCAGATCATCATAAAATTCTGATATTTTTGCTGGATCAATTGTACCGACACCATACATCTCCATAGCATCCATAGATCCATCCCTCATATTTGAAAGGTTCCCTGGTGATTGTACCGGGAATTGTAATTTCGGATTATACTTTTTAGTTCCCGGAGCATCTGGACGAAGTCCACCCCAGTATCCCATCAGTGCATGCCATACATAGACATACCTGAAAATCGTGGGAAAAAAAAAAACAAAAATAAATCATCATATTGTTAGCAATGGTAACAAAGGAATCCAAGAACTTCCAATCCTTTTGTCGTCTTAGAATTCCATCAAAGTAAAAGAAAAAATAAAAATGGAGGACAGGGTCCCCAGTAAAACCATACTTAAGGCCGAAAATCCTCTTTATTTCTGAAACGAAATCCTTAAGACAAGCAGGTGCTTCGCTTAAGTCCTCATTTGCTTTTCTCTGGAACTTATTGTTTTCATGTATGCTGACTAATCTGGCACCAAACCTGCAGTTTGGATTTAAAAGAATTAGAGGTTAGAGACACGCCTTTTTGAATTAACAAGAAAAATATATATATTTTGAACTTACAAGTTACTGCATACATATGTGCTTTTCAGAATTAAGAAGAAAAGAAATGGACAAACTTACTGTGACCCTTCCACAAAAGGTTCCCCTTCTTTCTGGAACTCATTAGTTATATCTTGCCACCCATCATCAATTAACAAAAATTTTGCTGGAGTGCCTCCTTCAGATAAACTGAGATATAGGAAAATATATTTTAAAAAATGTTAGGAAAACTAGTTTGTAATTAAAAAAAAAAATCAACAAGGAAGAGATGAAATGTAGAAAGAACACCTAAGAAAATAAGTAATTCTAAGAGATACATCTATCCATAGGAGCCTTTAGAGAATTCTCAGCCTTAAGATACATTATGGATGTTATGCGCTATTAACACCATTCAGATAGTATCGAATTCACTATATAACTAGTTTGTGTGTGTGTATTTTTTATTTTTTATCATTCTCTCTCTCATTTACCTTGGACTTTTAGGACCTCAAGTCCTAGGTAAGATGCCATTCTGTTCAAGTAATTAATTGGGGATATGAAAGCTCAAATTAAATTATAAAATCATGGTTTTGTTGAAATATTTCTTGGTGTGCTGTGCTTTCAATGAGGTTACAGAATCAAACAAGCAGCCTAACAATGACAGTTTTACTACCATAGAGTACTAACTCAATTAGTATTTCATGTACTAATGCACTTTTAATGTGTATATTTTCATAAGATAATGCACAGAATTGAGAACAATAACTTTTCTGAATCTATTGAAAATTTTCAGAAATGGTGAGAGTATATATAGGGGGCTGCATTTACCTTTTTAGGCCATCTCTAATTCCTTGAGGATTAACATCCATGTAGAAGGCATCCCAAGTACACCAACCAAAGCAATCTAGCATTCCCGGCGTCTGCATCAGAGAAATGACAAAGAAACTTGTTACTGATGCACACATCTTTCAGCAACATAACCAAATCCCGAGACTAACTTGCCTGTTTGTTTTGCCGAAGGGAAAAGGTACCACTATACTTCTCCAAAATCCTGCATATAATCAAAAGTCAATAACCAGTTCATGCTCATATAACAGTTGAATTAGTTAATATCCCACTCATCATGCCACTCAAATCCAAGCTTACTAATTGGAAACCGGTTAGATTTTAGCTGCCATCAAAGTAATTACATTAAATTTCACCAATCATTCAAGGTCAAATAAAATTTCATGAAATTCATACGTTGTTCAGAGGCCCACGTACTTCATAGATTCCTTGATCAGATCAAATGGATTGTTTCCATAACTCATAAAAACTGCATTTAGAGACTCTGATGCAACTACAGCAGGGTCACCTATAGAATGCAGAACCAGCTTATATCATTAGACTGAGGACAAAAGCTTCATCAATTAAAGATAAGAGAATGAGGAGAGGGTTGGTTATTAAGAACAAAATGTTCCTACACACATTTTTATATAACATAGATAAGATCCTGTCAACCAATGGGCATTAGCCCAAATGGTATAGTATCTCTTCTCCAAAGGGGAGCTAGGTTGAGTGTCCAAGCTCTGGTAGGGGCAATATTGTGGGCGCGTGTGCGTCTGCTTGAAGTTTCAAAAAATAAAAAATAAAAAATAAAAATGATTCTGTTCATGCTCTTTACTACAAGGTTCACCCAAGTGCAAATCTACATGTTTTAATGATTTATAGTTGGACCATTAAGATATCTAGGAAGTCTATACTGAATTGCAGTTTACTTCATACAATGATCAATGAAGTGGAAAGCTGAAAAAAAAAGAATGGAACCAAATATGTGAACTTCTTACCACTTTCAACACAAAATTCGAGTTCATCAGCTGAATTTCCCTGCAAGCTGCTTCTAAATTTGCCATCTAGCACGGGCAAGAATAGGATATAAGAGGTAGATCCATTAGGCACATCAGAATCCGATTCTTCCCTTGCTTCCACCAGCAACATCTGAGTTTCAATGGGAATATCTCTTCCTGAATTTCCCATTCGAGGTATCACCCACCAAATTTTAAACCGAAACAAACACAACAATCTGGCATCCCTGCATCAAACAAGCATCATAACAATTTCACTTATTTTTAATTTTTTTTTACAAGACAAAATATGATAAGTGGATGGATTTAGTTCCATCTCCAAACTAACATATTGCATCTGCTAATTGATCCTTTTGATTAGCAGAACCTCAAATTGTTCCCATTTCAAATGGGATAAAATTTTACAGAGTTATTATATCAATCCGAAGCAGCATAATTGGCTGAAATAGAGAAACTTAACTCAGCGTATAAGTAATATATGTGATAATCTTTGTCAGTGCATTAAGTAGATGGCTAATGCAGCAAAACATGAGCTACAGTGATGTAGCACCGAAGCATGAGCCTATTGTGCTTGTTTAAAAAAAAATCGACGAGGAGGAAAGAACATTAGTACTTACTGAATGACACCAAGCTTAAATACATGTCGAGAGCTGCTTGCAGTGGAGGTGGCACCTATAAAAGCTGATGAATTAGTCCATGGTGTAATGACGACGTTCTCTGGCACGCTTGTCAGTGTTTCAGTGCCATTGATGCTCAAAACCCCATCTTTTACTACTGGTTTTGCATTGACAAACATACTATGTTTCCATGTCTTGTGCAGATGCAAAGACCCATGTGAGAATTTCCTTTGATTGGAGCCCAAAAAGGAAGAGAAACTGGCATTGAGTTGCAGAGTGCTCAAAAGAGGAGACATGGCCACAGTCATGGTGGGTTGGAGTTAGTGTGGTTTCTGATGCTTTGTCAGTCCAACGTTGGTGCAAAACAAACGACAATCAACCGACCATGTATGTACTGTAGGAGATGGTAAAAGGACTAGGAAATGGTAATATACTAGACAGCACACACTACTATGAGTGATGTTAGTTTCCCAAATGATAGGATCGATAACAGGAGGGACATTTATATATGAATGATCACACTTTCTTTATTGGTTCACCACATTTCAATTGGATGCTTACCTAATTCCTTTATCATTTCTGATCTTCTACAGGAGTAGAATGTCCTCTCATTTTTGGAATAGAACGTCCTCTCATTTTTTTTGTGACAATTATGCCCCATCATGGGACATATAATTGTATCCATTGTAATTCTGTCTTCTTGTTCAGAAGGGACAAAAATTGTTAGCTGCACTCATTCTAGGGAAAAAATCAGGAAACGCCAATTTTTAATTGGAAAATGACAAGAAAATACAGAAATGATTTGATAAGGTCCACTGCTTAATTCTGTCAGGCTGTAAAGTGTTGGGAGTGTCTGATGACAGATTACTAGAAAGAGAGAGGGAGAGGGGTTTGGGGGTTGAAGCTTTTAATCTCTTGTTTTTGCATACTGAAATTTGACACCATATAAATATAAATATTTGTGTTTATTGTGTGTGTCGTGTTTACTTTTCTATTGGTTTCTTGATTACAATTAAGAAGAAAGATTAGTGAAGGTGTTGCAAAACATATTATCTTGAAAACTGGCACAAACCCAGTGAACATAAGCAAACAAGAGAGCGCGCATACACACATTTTTTTTTCACACTAAAAGCTGCCACACACATTTAAATGTATTCTCATCCTTGTAAATAAAGATTTATCAGTCAAACCATTTAAAAATGTGTATTGAATTGCACAAGGTTACTTATTATGAGTTCTGGATCCACTGCTCTAGTAAAGCAGTGTGATCAACAAATATATCCCTTCTAATTCTCTCTACTAGTCTAACAATTATCCCTGAACCAAGAATTAAAATATTAAAAAATAACCCAAAAATAACACTTATTCTAAATCCTGTTTTTGCTACTATCTATGGCCTTCCCAACCAATGTCAAAGGCTTCATCCTAATGTTTATTCTAGGCCTCAGGCAGCAGCAACCACGATCGGACTCCTCACATAGTGTTTACCATCTGACCATCGTAACTCTCCAAATACATAATCTTTTGCTGCATCAGCACTTTTAGCTTTCAGAGTCAACTCAAAGCTCTTCTCTTCTCCAATCTTGTCGAATTTCAGAACGCTGGGCTCAACCGAAATTGAAATTCCTAGTGGTTCACGAATACGAGCAGTATAGGTGCCTGGGGAGCCAACATTCTTGACTCTTCGAGTCAGTGTGACTGAGCCAGAGAGGTTAGGGACACTTATCGAAGGGTAGTTGAAGTTGAGGAGATTTAAAGACTTGGGACATGTATAAGGTGCCTTCGAAAATAGTTGAATCATGGTTTGGTTATAACCATTGCCGCAAAGGAAGTCCAGGTACTCATTGACAGTCAAGTCATAGACCAAGCCAGGATCCTGGGCGCGATTTGGGCGAATGTGTCCAGCACCATAACTAAAAGGTGTCGCCTTAACATAAGAACCATTGCGCATTGGATTCAGAGTGTTGTCTCTTGTTCTTGCTGTAGACAAAGCATTAGTAGAACACATTATTAGCTAGGAATTATATAATTTTATTTTCAACTAGAAAATTCGGGATATTAATTTACCACTAGTCATGATTGCTGATTTAATGGCAGCAGGACTCCAGTCAGGGTGGAGTGTCTTCAGTAGGCCTACAACTCCCGAAACATGAGGGCAAGACATGGATGTACCAGAATCTACATTAAAAGGAACCCTGCGTTTATCGAATTCTTGATCTGTGGGGCTTGTTGCTTCAGAGAAGGCAGCTATGATATTAACTCCTGGTGCAGTAATATCTGGCTGAATCATCCAAAAACTGGGAATGAGTTACAATGAGACAAAAAAGGTAAACAAGCAACAACTTGAGGTCGGTCAAACCTTTAGGATCTCTGGTGTAACAGTATTAGGACCCTTGGAGGAGAAAGAAGCCATGAATGGAGCTGGCTTTGTATTCAATTTCGTTGCTGGATCAGTAATAAAACCCAGTGGATTCCTGTCAAAGTTATCGTACTAATTAAGTAAAAACTGAAGAAGTTGGTGTAGCCAGAATTTGTAAGTACACAGAGGGAGAGAGGGTTACTTGGTAGAATTGATGTAGGAAAAAACAGCAACACCATCTGTATAATTGACATGTGATGCCGGAAGGACGTGAGCATCAGCTATAATTTCATTACCACTGGCCTCATCATTGCAAAGAATCATCCCAACAGCCCCAGCCAAAGAAGCTTGTTGGCCCTTATCCACTCGCGCATTATCCCCCCTAAGACAGGCCAAGATCTTACCCTTCACCTTCTCGGTGTCCAGGGTTCCCGGCTTACATAGAATCCTGCATTACCAAAGCAAATAGTAAGACACAGCAAAATGCACACTGCAGCCAAATGGGATACTTGCATTTTTTTTAGATTAAAAGATAAAAAAAACTTTTCAGAAACAGATGTTCTTACGCTTCCTCAGCAGATGCATTTGCAGCTTTGGCCTGTGCAGCACTAATGAGGGGATAGAATCTATCTTCTGGAAGTGCTTTAGAAATGCTTGTTCCCTGGCATCAATAATCAATAATCATAAAAGGGAATAAATAGAAAGTTGACCAAATGAAAATAAAAAATTATTCGGATAAAAAAAAAAATCAAACCCTCAGGCGCAGTCCATTGCGAAGCTCAACATAAGTCTGGAACTCGCGGTCCAAGGTGCTTGCTCCAACAGTTATAATCCAAGGGGCAACATTTGTGACAGTTCCATCAGTAGGTCCAGAATTCCCAGCTGAACATACTACCACTATACCACTCTTAACAGCATGGAAAGCCCCAATTGAAAGGCCATCATCGAAGTAGTCACCAGCGTCTCCACCAACCGACACTGAAAGCACATCTACACCATCGTAGATGGCCATATCGAATGCTGCCAAGATATCAGAATCATAGCATTCGCTTCCATTGGCCGGAGGCCAGCATACCTTGTAAGCAGCCACTCGAGCTCTAGGCGAACCACCTTTTGCAGTTCCATTGCCCAAGCCGAACACACTTGCTCCAGAAACAAAGTTCCCTCCTGCTGTTGATAGTGTGTGAGTTCCATGCCCTTCGAAGTCTCGTGCAGAGGCCATAGAAGCATTGAGTGAGCCTGCATTTGCAAGATAGCCCTTGTTGAAGTACCTAGCTCCAATTAGTTTCCTACAAATTAAACAGTATATCAGTTGCTGAACAGTATCATATATCTAAAGAGTATTAGATAATACCCAAAAAAAAATGTTTTTAAAAAGAAAAGAATGATAACACTATATCTATACAAGGTGGTGGATCTACACTTTATAAAACTTTATTATGAAAATTCTTCCTGTGCTTTATTTTTAAAGGTAGAAAAAGCAATCCACCCAGTTTTGTTTATGCACAAAAAGTTGCTTTTTTTAAGGCATTCATGCATCAGCAATATAATTGAAAGTATCACATCGAACTGTAGCATAATAAGACTATCAAAAAGTATTATGTTCTCTACTATCACTATTGCTGTGTTGGGTTCTTATTCTGAGGCATGATGGCTAATAACATGTTAAGACCAATATATGAAAGTTTTTGAGTCAATATTCTGCAGAAATTGAAAGCATTGGACTTGACTAAAAGCAGTAAGAACTATTTCAAAAAAATTATACTTCAAATCAATAAAAAGTTTGTTTTACTGAGTCCAAAGCTAAAAACCTATATAATAAGAGATGGGTCATATTGAACAAGATCTTTTAGCTATTTTTATAGAAAGCTTGACCACTTTTAGCAAAATTGTTTTCATCCACAAGAAAAGAACAAGCTAGCTATGCTGAAGACTTTGAAGAAGAGGAAGATTAAATATTAGTAGTAACTGTTGTAAGTAATCATAATCAGCATTATTGTTCACACCATCTCATTATAATAGAATTAATTGTTGGTAATTGTTATTATCATTATTATGATGAAAAAGAAAATAAAGAGTATACCTATTGCAGGGGACTCCAGCATTGGTGTCATTCTGACAGATTCCTTTCCACTTTGAAGGAATGGGCCCAAACCCTTTATCACTGAAGCTCTGTGATTCAGGCCACACACCTAACAAAGTCATGATAAGTTGTTAATCTTATGTTTTAAGTTTGAAATTGAAAAAACAAAAACAAAAACAAAAAAAACAAAATTAATAGAACAAAGAACATAATTGGAAAAGAAAAATGAATTGAAAGGATACCGGTGTCGAGATTTCCGATGATGGTGTCTTCACCATATCTGGCCTTTTCCCACAGAGAACTAGGATGAACCACACCATCCTTTTCCAGCATCATAAAGTTCCATGAATGGGTTGTGTGCAATTTTCTCCCTCGGTTCAAGAAAACTGACAAAACATCGGGATGCTCTACATTCATTTTAAACATGTTCGTTTAGTACACATACTGATCAATACACACACACTACACACACACACACTATGCAGCATGTTATATACCTGCAATAGCTGCTGCTTCCTCCTCTTCAAGAATAGCTGCAAAGCCATTGATATTTCTTTTGTAGTTGTAAAAGATTGCATCTTTGCCCTTCTCTTTACTGTGTGAAATAAATTTTGGCATAAAAAAAGAGTTTGAAAATATATATTCCATAAGAACATAAACTAAGTAGATCATTGATTAAAACTACCATTTTATCAATTCACATACCTTCCCAAGAATGAGCCAAGCAAATCATAATGAGAATCTGCCACCTGTTGAAGATCGGCCGACGTAAGCCCTGTGCCATGTGAATGTTCTCCCAAGTACACTATGTAAGACTGTCTCAGACACCCGAAAAAAAAAAAAATTAGAAAGAAAAAAATCAAAAACAGTCCATGAAAATTGAGAACTAGAGAAAAAAACAAAAAATCAGTTAGTGCCGACCCATGCTAGTGAACTCTGACAAATCAGTCGAAAACAACAAAATTTCAATTAGAAAAGAGATATTTAGGCAATGTGTACCCTTTTGATTGATAGAGCTGGTGTTTGGAACAGAGAGAAAAGAATGAACAGAGCAAGGAAAGTTGGGAACTTCGGATAAAAAACCATTATGCTTTTCTGTTATTGGAAAAAAGAATGTGATAGTGATATTATTCTAGTATTGTGCTCAATTATTGAGCACTGTTTGGGTGGAGAGAAAGAGGAGCAAAGGCACCCTCTTTCCCCTGTTTTTTCAATTATATAGAAGAAGAAGAAGAAACTCTGTTTCTCTAAGCTTAAGATTGATATGTATAATATTATTACGATATATAAGTGAAACCAAATTCTAATAGCGAGCAAAGAGGTAAGTGGAAAAGTCCTATTGTAATTATAATTATAATTATATTCCCTTTCACGGAAAGTATTGAGAGAGAAAGAATTGATTCTGAAAAGTTCTTTAATTTTTTAAAATTATAATTGAGATTGGATATGATTAGGATATATACATCTATTTAAATTTAAGATCAGAGAGAATAATTGACAACCAATCGTTATAACCTCAAAACTCTACAAAAATAGGAAATGTTGTGATTAGTTTGGCAATGGGAGAGGACTCCAAATTATACGGGACACATATATATATCATATATATTATTTTATGTACATATATATAGAATATCAAATAGGAAGGGAAAAAAAAAAACCATTAATGCAAATATAACGGACCCTTTGAATATCGAATCCCGCGTTCTGGGTAGATCCATTATACATGAAGAAATTGAAAAGTTGGTTACATGCATCAGTATTTTATTTTATATATATATATATATATATATATATAATCAGGTGTGACCATCACTTGCCCGACTTTTTTTTTTTACCACACCATCACTTGTACTACTTTTTTTTTTTACCACACCATCACTTGGTACTTGGAAAATGATCACCATCATTGAAGTTTTAAGATTGCAATAAAAGTGCTATTTTGTTGTCATGAACATAGAGACCTAGCTTGAGAAGACATGTTCCAGAGTATCAGGAACTCTTAACATTTGGCACATGACTATAATGCTTCTCTAATTTATTTTCTCCATATTTTGTTATAATTTATTTTCTCCATGTTTTGCTTGTCAGTTGTTAATGAAGAATCAAGTAAATATTAAGACTATTTGATTTGTCACTCAGAAAATAATTTTTAAAAATTCAGAAAATAAAAAAATTATTCATAAACAAACCTTAATAACTTTGATTAGGCGCCTCTATTTTTTTTTTTTTAATTTCTTTCTTTTTACTAAAATAAAATTTAATTTCAAAGGTTAAACAATTTAATTTCCAAAATTTAAAGATTGATGATTTGTAATGAGGTAGGTTAAACAATTTAATTTTCAAAATTCAATGATTAATGATTTGTAATGAGGAAGGTTAAACAATTTGATTTTCAAAAGTCAAAGATTGATGATTTGTAGATATTGAAGATACTGCGGTATGGGTAAAGTGGACTAGTGGAATAATTTTCTGAGACGTTATATAATCAATGTATATCTCTAAAATTGAGAAGTACATGCGTTATTACTGCAAGTGATGGAATATCGATTCAATATTTAAAACTTAGGGCTTAGTTTGGATAAATGGAAATAGAAAGAAAGGAAATGAAATGAAATGAATATTTTTTTAACTTTTTAAGAGTTTGGTTGGCAAGGAAAGAAAATTTGGTGGGAAAGTAATTTTCCATAACCAACCAATTTTCCTAAAAAAAACACACAAATTTTTTCCTTTCTTGAAAAAATTATATAAAATTTCAATTATATCCCCTTTTCAATTTCTAAAATAAATTATGTTTATGCATGAATTTTGGTAAGAATATTATAATAATGATCTTTCTCTCTACATATCTTACAAAATTTTATTATTTAGATTTTTATATTACTTTCATTTTTAAAAAACAAAAATATTTATTAAATATAAATTTATTTTTTACTATTGTCATATTTAATAAAAAAAAAAATTGAACAATTCATATAAATCAAAATATTTTCTATTAACTTCCTTGAAGCAATTTCTTGCTAAGCAAATAAATACTAAAAAAAATTATTATTTTTTCCTTCACTTCACTTTCTTTCATTTTCATTTTTCATCAATGATTTCTATATAAGTTATATAACCAAAGAATCCCTAAATGTTATTTATTTTTTCTTCTTCTTTTCCTAACAAGAAAGAAAATTATAAATATAGAAAATCAGAAAAACAAAGCCTCTTGTTGTGCTACAACTAGCGCAATATTAACAACTCCAAACAACTCTTTGCGGTACTCAATTTACGTTTTTGAGTAGAATATAGGTTAAACTGCAAAAAAAATTACTGTTATATAATAAATGTGCAAGAAACATTTTTATTTTTTAAAAAGTGGGATATAAATTAATGTATTTTAAAATTTTGAAGTAAATTGTCCTCTGATAGTCAATTTTAACTAATTTTTTAATAAAAATTCCAAAATACCCTCAAGGACATGCTTTCCATTTTTTTTTTTTTTATTTATAAAAATCCCAAAAAAAAAATTATAAAAATCTCAAAATTTAAAATCAGTGTTTTTTGTTTTTATTTTGTCCGGAAGGCATTTTAGATATTTCAGACTTTAAATTGAAATATTATCCTTATTTACTCAATTTAGAAAATAAAGGAATTTTTTTAACACCCATTTTTTGCACTCTACCCAAAAATATTTTCCTAAATGAGAGATGCAAATGGTGAGATCAATAAGACTATGCAAAAGAAAGAAATAAAATAAGTAGCAATTATTGGTTAAACTAAGAGACAATTAAGTAAGATGTGTCATTGAGTAAGAATTTAAAAAAATAAAAAATAATTGCACCGCTAAGAAAGACTAATACGGTCTACATTGAAGGAAAGGGTATGACCAAAATTAAGTGCTTGATAAAGTAAAAATCCCCTGCAGGCCTTAATTTGCTTGAGAGTCGAGACAGTAAAAAAAAAAAAAAAAAAAAGTTACTATAAATTTATCCTAATGTTAGAATGACAAACAAAATATCTATCTCTTATTAGTTAATATTAGTTAACTGAAATTGAAATTTTTTATTTTTTATTTTTTTATTATTATTATTTTTTGTATGCATTGTATCTTCCGCCCTGAAATGGCCACATCTATTAGAATAGTTTTAGATGATTACAAGGGAAGCAATTTAAAAGGTCCTTCAGGCCTCCAATTATATCCATCTCTGTTTGTATTAGGAATCCTTTCGGGCACTTTTATTCGTGTCCCCAAGTTGGGGCACTTACTGTCTTCTCAAAACCACCCACCTTCATTGGGTGTAATCCTTCAACCTTCATCATGTGTGGCTAATTTCTCGGTAGTGTTATATATATATATATATATATATATATATATAAATTGTTTTTTTTTTTAAAGGTCTCACACCAGTCATGCAAATGTGAGGTTGTACCATCTGTGCCATAAACACTGTAAGTTGTTACATAAGCCATAAGTCAATGGGGGAGCCAGAAAGACAATAATATACCCTTAGTAATTTATTTTCTTTTATTATATATCCTTAAAAAATTACTATTGCCCCCTTGAAATTATTGAAAATTTTCAATATGGCCTCCCTCACATAATATCATAGGTTTGTCCTGACCCGTCAAATAAGTAAAAATGTTTTATTTTAATAGATTTAATAACTATGTGTGAGTATTTAATTAAATGGTACCAATTATCATGTCATTAATATAACAGGAATAATAATGTATTTTTCATGGTCGGGAAGCAGAATTATGTGAGTAGGGAGAAAGTATTTGACGCGCACGCGCACCGTGCATCTAACTATACGTGGGCACATATTATACGCGTAGCCACCGGTCTTTGTCACCGGCAGGATTGGTAGGCGAATGGCAACCCCCATTTGCCTACTAACCAATTAACCTAAAAAAGAAAAAAACGTAGTATGAAATTAAACCAGGCTCTGAAGAGAATCACTAGTAGTACAGAGAGTAGAGTCAAGATTATGCCGGTGAAAGCCCAAAACTTGTCCAAGACCAAGAGGGTTGATCAATTGCATGAAAAAATGAATCGCCTAAAAAGAGGATGGACTATTTGATACATTCATAATAAGCTATTGGAAGTAGACAATAATAAAAGTAATATGCTTAAAGAAAACTTGATCTACAGTACTAAATAGCACCCCATCTATGAATAGTCAGTCCCTTTTTATGATGATATGGCATATGGCACTGTTTCATTAGTGACTTGACCATATCCTTGATTGAAGAAGAGCCAAGACAATGTTTAACATTTATTTATTTGCCTGGTTTTTGGGAGATGATTTTGGCTTATGTTAATTAGATTTGATTAATCTCTACTCTGCTCAAATAATTATTAATAGCCAGCACATCCGAGATATTACAACAATCTAAGCATGTCACGTATAAATAATACAAAAAATTACATTGTGGTTTGGCATAGAGAGCCTACATGTATGGTGAAATTAGGTAAAAAAAAAATTCGCTATATCAAATATTACAAGTTTAAGCCATCAACCCCTTTATCAAAGTCCTTTGTTCCCACCCTCCAAACCTTAGACGCAATAGGACCTACAACCATTATTATTATTTGGATGAAAATAATAATAAATATAAAATAAATGAGGGAAAAAAAAAAAAAAAGTAGGCTAATTTTGTTAGAGGGGGGAAAAAGGTCCAAAGTAGGCTAATAAATTACATAGGCAGGCTTTGGCACTATCTTATGGAACTATTTGCTGCCGTCTTCTTCAGGACCCGTCTTAATTTCTTCATTCCATGCATTTTCTACTGTTCTATTCCTTGGCTCCACCCTTTTTCATTAATCCACCTTAATTGACTAACTCTTTTTTAATTCATCCTTTACTAAACTTAATTAATTTGCTTGAGAAAGACAGATCTAGACAGAGAGTACTTATGAATTACTTTTATATATATGTATATATATATATATATATATATAGATATATATATTATATTTATGCTGTAACCGGCTGAGATCTAGCAAGGAGAAAGAGGAACATACCATATTCTTAGCTTGTTCCTTTTTTTTTTTTTCTATATATAGTGGTACATTTTTTTGACATTGTCCATATTAATTTGATCGATCAGCTCCACAATTGAACTGTAAGTACCTCAATCTCACTTCTGTGCCTTGCACTTCAATATTGTTATATAGTTCATGAGTGTGGTGTGTGTGTGTATATATATATATATTTTGATCTGCCTGGC